TTCGTTAACCGAGGGACCACTGTATTAAAATTTGGATTAACTTTTTTATTACCAAAATTCTGTAAGGGTGATTTTTTTTTCTTTTAAATTTATATACCCAATTTTTTTTCATAATTACAAAATTCAGTAGGGACGAATATCCGTATCCTGGTATTCCATAATACGGAGGATGCCTATACTGCAGCGACTCATTGTGTGTGTGTGTGTCTACCAGTCAATCAGCTGATGATACAAATTGATCCTAAATTTCAGTTGCAAAGTAGTATACAAGGATTTTTGAAGTATGAACAGAAGAGCAGGATGATAAGTAAGGCCAACTAATGTCTGGTGGCTGTTATAAGAAATTAAAAGAAAGATGGGTTAGTTAAATGAAGCTGTGCAGACCATACTTCATAAGCTCTACCCCGGCCAAAAACTTTTTATATTTTTCTCCCATTGTCTTCCCACACCTATTGGCTCTCAATTCCGAGTGAGCTTGAAATAATAGTTTGTAACAACTAAAATCCAATTTCTGTAAAGGGATTGTCAGCCATAAGTTCGAGGTGCTGGTGTGGGGTGGGGTGTGCTCTCGCCCAGCTGCTGAGACACTCCTATTGTAGTGCAGGGTGAATAACATTAGGGAACGCGTGGCCGTATGATCTTGTGTGTGTATATTACAGTATTTTATATGCAATAATCTTTGTTTGTATTACCATAATTTTATTTCCAACACTTACATAAATTTTTTGCCAGAAAATGCAGTTAAGGTGATTATTATGGTGATCTCTATAATCTCTTGAACATTTTCAGTACTGATTATGATTAGTTATGATGTACACTCACTACAGAAAGTATCTATAACGTAGTGTCCAATGGCTTTCAAAATGAACACCGCGACTCGTTGTCGCGGTAGGGTTGTCAAAATCTTTCGTCTGTTGTCATTGTCTGGCAAAAAAATTTCCATTTACTTTTTGTAGCTAGTGTACATGAGTATCATAAGCTACTCTTCAAATTTCATCAAATTATAATGCCTCTAAATTGCTAAGGTTATGATAATTTTCATGATTACTAATAATCCTGACAAGATTATTATTTTTTTATTATAACAACATAATCCTGAGTATGTAAACTTCAGTTTGTTACAAGAGTGATTGTGCTGTCATAATTTTTTCAAGAGTTCCATTTTCCAAAACTTTGATTATGTTTTCTGGTGTTTTTCCTTTTTTGTAGCTTATGGAATTATGGCCCACACACCCCCATATAACACTGAACAAGAATAATTCATTTTTCTCGTAGTGAACAGATTTTTCAGTGACATATTTCTTCACTTTAGTGAGTGAGTCAATGATCAAGTGACATAGTGACTGGCACAGCTAAGAACATATTAGCACTGATAGACACAAATATCGAGGTAGTTAAATAATAATAATAATAATAATAATTAATGGTTTATTGAAAGAGCTTGGCAGCCAGAAGGGTGAAAATATACAGTTACATAATTGGGGAATGGGTTTAGAATTACAAATAATATACAAATAACATAAGTGATGTGTGTGTATGAGCCATAGCTTTCATAAACAAGAAGTGTAAGCATAATAGAGCTACAATACAGTTTATAGCCAGAGCAGCTAACCATTTTTTTAATGAGCACTTTTATATAAACTAGTAAATGTCTATATTAACCCCTTTGGGACAGTGGAAGTGCAGAGGCTCTTCCTCTCTACTGAGATCCAGGACTGTATATCTAGAAGTCCACTTGCCTCAGGTTGGGGACAATATACTTATGACATGACACATGATTACATCACAGAATATCACCAAACCTCATCATATGAGGTATTGCCAGGAAGAATGGCAAAACAACCAATTTTATGAAAATCTGTTTTCTATGGTACAGTTGTGGAAATGTGTTTCTATCCCCCTGTGGTAACCCTTGTCTCCAAACGGCCAACCAATATGGTGTATAGCATCCCTATCCACCAATCACGTCTATCATAAATAGGATGCGATGGTGCCGTTTGGAGACACGGGTTACCACAGAGGGTGTAGGAACACATTTCCGCAACTGTACCACATGGGACTCAAACACTTGAGAATTTCACCTTTTTTTTCCCCTAGTGGTACCAAGGCTTTTGTTGAGGTGTTTCGTGGTGCATTTCATAGCATGTTGACTATATTCTTGCCCTGAGATAAAGGCAAGAGTGCAAGCCAGAGTTGTGGTGAAGTTTACACCTGTATTTACCTTTTTACACCATTATTAGTATCCACCATGAGTTCTTCTGGCAGTGATAATATATATGTTATACTTTTTATATGCTTTACCATTAATTATATTTATCTCCTAAAATATTTAATTTTTTATTGCCTACAAGTATTGTAGCTATTACCATTAACTATTGGGCATATTATGGAACATAATACATGTTTCTCATACAAATTCATAAAGTATTACTCACAACCTACAAAAGAAGTTATAAATGATGACCCCCCTTTTCTCCAGAAAATTCCAATTATTTTTCTTTAATGCAGTACGTATTGTACTCGGGCATTTTTGTATCGTAAAAAGTATTTACTATTGACTTCAGAATATCTCCTAATATCAAGTGCACATAGCTTCAAAATGCCCATGATATTGGTCAGATTTCCAAAAAATTTATGGGGGTTGGGGGTTATGGACCAGAAAAGGAAAAAATATTCAAATGCGTTTTTCTCAAAACTCTGGTTTCGCAATACTCACTTACTAACCTGACAATGTCGTAATAATAATAATGATAATTCATAGGTCTAGATCGTGTTTCTCACTTTTGACCTTTTTTTCATTCATGTATTTCTTTATTATTATTATTATTTTATTATTATTGTTATCATTATTATTTCATTTTTGTGTAGCAGTCAGTCCTCGACTTACGACAGGGTTAAGGATCAACGACCAGGTCGTAAGTCAAATTGATCGTAAGTCGAAAATGCGAAAATAATACATAGAAAATCTAAAATGGGTGTCTCTCTTTCTTCTCAGCACCACTAGAACTCTCACTTTATGCTTGCCAGCCATTTTAAAGGGCATTACAAAAAAAAAATTGTCAGTACACAGCGTGATCACTAACGTCGGGACTCGAAAATACATAATTTGAAAAATATTTTGTGACTGCAGTGGTCGTATGTCCGGGTTGTTGTAGGTCGTTAGTCGAGGAGTACCTGTATTTTTTATTATAAATTTTATTTACTATGAATTATTATTATTATTACATTTTTGCCCCCCAGGCCCCAATGTGGGTCAGTGACCTGTGCCCAGGTGGCTAATTCTGAAAAAAAAAAAAAGTACCTGTATGTTTTGCTCCACTAAAAAAACTTTCGGTTTTCGGAGTTTCGGATAAGGGGTTATCAACCTGTAGTGAAAAAATACTATAATGTAGTCTTAGTCTCGTCCTTTTTTCTGTTTATGTTTTAGCCAAAACAACAATGAAGCTTTTGATGTATAAATCATGCAATAAAAACAATTTCTTGTGGGATAAATTGGCCACAGAAAGATGACCAGACCTCACATGAGTGGTCCCATAATACTTTTGTTGTGGTCATGGAAACTTAAAAACCCTTGTGACTTGGTGTAGTGTAGCTGGATGTGGGAGTCCTTGGTAGTATTTTGTGACCATGAATACATCAACTCTTGGCAGGTTTCTTGAATCTGTCTTAATGAATCCAGGAAGTAACTTGCCAACCTGCTGTTAGATGCATAATGCTGTAAATAAAGTATATTACTGTCCAAAATTTGATAGTTATCAAAAACAAGACATTAAATAAATTTTGCCATTAAAAACAGCTGCTTGCAAGCTCAAACTAGAAAACTTTGCGTGCATCAATGTTATAGTGATAACTCGTTAGAAATGTTCTCGGTTTAATCGTTTATCTGTAATTGATGAAATTTAATAAGTTATAGACTAGGTTGCACCCTAGCAACCGTATTTTGTTTTGTCTGAACTGATAGATACTGTTGGTTGCTACCTGAATTAAAGGCCTCAGAGATATGGGTTGTCCTGTATCCTCAACAGTATGCCAACAAGGCAACTTCATCTGCAAAGTACTGTAGTTCATTATATGTCTACTATAAGTGCACCTGCCTCGGGCATTTTCTTAGACTGGTATTCCAGTGCACTCCTCTAAATGAGGAACTTGATTTGTGGCTGGCTTTAAAAGGCTAAATTTCAGTTTGAACAGACATAAACCAAGACACAGTAGGGAAGTGTTTACTCACCAGCCAGTGACGACACAACCATCATGGCCACCGTTGCGCGAGATTTTAAAATAGTAAACTTCAAATGCCTGGTTCATTGATAGTACAACTTGGTTTAAAAAAAATAATAATAATCGGACCTCGCACTATAAAAAAAAATGCCAAGTTAAATTACCAATTTTGCAGAGCTGTGAACGTGTCTATTCTGGCCATTCTCTTTTGGTGACCCTATACTCTCTCTTTAACAATAACTCCCCAAATAAAGTAGAACAATTAGTATGTTTTTGTTATAGTTTAGTAACTGTGGTACTTGTATACTGTTAAAAACTTACCCGGTAAATTAATTTTCTCAAGTCTTTGTTCTGAAGTATTTCAGGTCATTTATTCCAAGTGAGACAGGGAGGGTGATAGATATGGCATTGTCTCTGGCAAATCAGCTGAGTGAGGGTAGTGACTTGAATATAAAACAGTCACAGTGGTTGTATGGAAGCAGCAGTTCACTTTGTCCAGCACAAAATGAAGTGAAGACTCGGGGTTTCTTGTAAGCTATATTTCTTTTTCTCATGTACTGAACTATCTTTTATGCATAAGATATGGTGTTCTTGTTCTGTGCTATCTGATAACAGAATGGTGCTGATGGATAGGTGATGTAATATGTTTTAGTATGTGTTGTGTCAATACACCATTTTTGCCATTTTTCTCCCGTAATATATTTATCATTGTATAACGAGCAGGATTTTTTGTAGCAGAGACAACAAGTACACGTTTCGGTGTTTTTCCTTAACTGTTGCCGATCTAGCGGTGGACCTGCGGCCCCAGCCCCCTCCCCAGGAGCAGCAGCAGGACCAGGAGGGGAGTGGGTGTATATGCTAGGATGCGGCCTTCATGCTCTAGTCTCTCCTCGTGTCCTCACACTTTATCCTCACATCAAGCAACACCTAGAAAGCTTCCTCATTTATCCTCATACTTCTCTCCTTACACCAGGTAACACCAGAAACCTTCCTTATTTCTTCCTTACACCAAGTAACACCCAGTAAACCCATTTATCCTCATATTTCTCTCTGTACACCAAGTAACACCCAGAGAACCTCCTCAATTGTCCTTGAGATTTTCCCTTACACCAAGTAACACCTAGGAAGCCTCCTGCTCCTTTCTCTTCCTATTACTTGTGTTTGCTTCGTATAACAATTTTAACTATCAGTTTAATTTTGTATTTAACACATTAAACTTCAGGCAAATCATTTAGTACAGTATGTTGTGTATAGGTGGGTATGAATCAAGTATGAATATAATTTTTTCATAATACCACCTCATACTTTGGTGCTTTTTTATAAAAGTGATCTTCATTTTTTATGACAATTTCACTCCTCTTTTCCGAGGTTTTCATGTCCCTAATATAAAAAGGGTCTTTTATCTTGATATGCACAATACCTTATGTTATGGTATGTACTTTTGGGTGCTGACTTTAACTCTTGTGTTGTTTTAGTCTTACATGCTGCTGTCTTGTTTCGAATATATGAAACCATCCCACCAACCTCTTTAGTCAGTGATGTTAATATATTGAGTTGTAAGAAGACCAAATAATCTCTAGTTTGATTAGTGATGCAGAACCTTATGTATATGTACATGTACTGTATATGTTTAGTAAATGCCACAATTTATTGTTGACTAATTTGATGAAATTATTATGATTGACTTTATCTGTATCTACAAAGCAATAATTACCCAGAGTGATTTGTGAGCAAGTTCTTGAACATATCATTGTACTATAGGTGAGCTGCAAGACTTTAAAAAGTTTTTTATGTGGCAGTGCAAATTGTGGCTTTTACTAAAAAAGTGCTTTCTGGTTAGACTTTTATTTAACAGTAAATTATTAGTAAGTTTCATACTACAGTACTTGGGGTACTTCTGAATCTAAAGATTCTTACTTGTTTTGATTTAAGCAGAAACTCATAAGAAAACATCCATTGGTTGCACACTACTGAGAGGTGAAAGCATGATACAGTACCAGTAAAGGCAGCGACCTGTTTTTCGAGAGATAGACCACACCTTGAAGCAGACTTTGACTTTGCTCATTATTGTGATAGTTGTCTGAATGTCTTTAATTTACTACTTAAGGTTTGCTGATGTCATATTCTACAAGGAGAAGCTTTACCTCAAACAGAATATTGAAGGTCCTAAGTGACTTTATGGCAGTTTATTTGAATAGGATATTATATGCATTCATGTTTCATTATTAATGAAGTGCTTACTGACCATTTCATTTGCTAAATCATTTTTCCATTGGTTAATTTGACATTCCATTGGGATGAATACGAGTTCTGCTGCATTTTAAGCTGTGCTATTGTGAAACGCCACAAATCTTGAAGTTTGCCTCTTTGCCAATAGCTTTTATTACCGATATAAGTGAGAGGTTGCCCACTGACTGCACGAGAGAAACTGGAGCATAAATATTACAGTATAAGGATCTTGGGCTATAGATGGGACTCCACTTGCTTCTCTCTTTGCTTCAAGGAAAGTGAAGGAAGTCTTGTTGAAATCCCATACAATAATGTTTCTTTTAACACTCATACCATGACAGTAAAGTCCACAAAGTGAAACACATGTGTATTGCTGACCTTGGACAATGTTCTCTCTTCAATGCTTTGTCTAAAAGGTCAGTAATTTTTACTTCCTTAATTTGTGGGCTTTATCTTCATACTACGTTCACACCATTGTGATGGAATCATACATATATATATTTATATGATAAATTTAAACAAAATTATTGAAGGATCATACTTAGATGAGTTTTAAATGTTATCGGGAATGTTTTTATATCTGGGCTATGATTACTCACCCGCCACAATGTTTGTTTCCCATGATTTAATTACAGTACAGTAATGTGAAATTACTTAGATTATAGTTGCTGAAAAGAGCACCCATCTCTTAATTGGCCCAAGTCTGTATAAAAGAGTCAAAATATCCTATTCTTTTACTGTTACTTCCAGGGTTGTTTTGATTAATAGCAAGTTTATGAAAAATCACCAACAGGATTGAATTAATTTTTTTTTTTTTTTTATGATATTGATGATGTTGCTGTTGGCTCTATTGATATTACTAATAAAAAATACCAATAATGACTACTTCACCACTTCTTCTCAAGTGCTCAATTCTCTTATTATTAATGTTTTGTAGTGACTGTTGTTCCAGCAGCAGCAACATGACAACCTGTGATTGCTTAAGGTGCAATTCAAAATTGCTATCAGATTTCCAGAAGAGTGATTTTGATAAAGATACAGGCAATACTTGTACTATAGTGGAGTGGACCGTGCCTCTTAGTTTGAGACAATCGTACTTGGAAACATCATCTTCCTGCTTTAGTGGGCTTGCTAATGTTTGGCAAGTCGATAGCAATTGTGAATGGCATCTTGTTGTATGTACTGTCAGGCCTTGTGTAGGGGGTAGTGAGGGATGATTAAAGCTTTATTGTAATTGGCTGTTGTCTTCCTCCTCTGACCAATTATCTCCCTCATCACCCACACATAAGACTGGGAATAAAATAGAAAGCACTTGGCTTCAACATTTTGAATAGCAGAGCTTTTAGGTGTTAGCACGTATGAATTAACAGATGTTGTAGAAAACTCAATACACTTGCATTGTGTGAAGAAAACTGCTTGTTCATGAACATACAACTCTTACTTAATGCATAATTAGGTTATAATTCAAAATAGGAAAGATGACCATTGTCCAATAAATATTGCTCGCTTCATGGAATTATTAATTTCATAGATATTAATAAATGTAGATGATTCTGCAGTAAAAAGGTTGTATATTGCATTTTGGGTCCAGATAGATTATTTAGGGTAATTCATAATAAATGGAATGATGGTGTAGAATTTAACTCATGTTCCATGGCATGATATATATATATATATATATATATATATATATATATATATATATATATATATATATATATATATATATATATATATATATATATATATATATATATATATATATATATATATATATATATTCTACTGACTTATTTCATTTGTAAGGAATTACACCAGTGCAACTGTGTCCAGTCATTCTTTCTACTTTGCCATAGTTCTAAAAAATATTGCAAGCTTATATAATTAGAGCACCTTAATTCCTCCTCCATCACCAATTGGTCACTACCATGGTTTGTGTTAGTCCATGGATCTGCATACCAAAAAAATCCTTTCCTCTTCATATGTGTGTGAAATTGTTTTACAATACTAAACCTCTGAAAGGATATTGATTATTGACTATAGCTCATTCATAAATCTGAGTGTTTACTAGCAACATTCAGATTTGCTAAAGCTAAATAAAGATTCATTCATATGGAACTGTTACATAATCTCCCAGCCACTGTTTGTAATATGCTTTATGCCAGGTGTGTAGTTCTGTACATTAGTAAAGGTGTTTTTATAAGTATTTTATTTTATTTCTCTTCATTTTGGACTCTAAATATTTTATTTTGCTTTAATTCCTTCAGTGCTGTAAATAGATTCATTGTTGCGGAGTATTTTAGAGACAGAAGACCATAACAGTGAAGTTGCGAGAGTGGCTACAGTACAGCACCTAAGTTTATCTTTGTGAATTTATGACCAGTCAAATAAATTAAATCTCTTGAAAACATACTGTGTATCTGAATGGACATTTAAGAGGAGCCAAGACAATCTGTTTCTTAGACCAGAAAACCTGACCAATACAGGACCTGAAACACAAAATACTTGAAAGGTACCTAGTACAGTAATGTTAGTAGACTGAATGAAAAGAAAATTTTGAGTAGGCCGGAAGATATGCCTCCTTATAATCACTGTAACTTCTGCTGTAACAAGATGGTCATGCAGTATTAGGTTACAGAGTACAGCATAAAGAGGAGTGTCAGCCATGGAAGTTCAATCCAAAACTATTGCATAAGAAGAGAAACTGAATTTTTTAATGCTCTCAATTGTAATCATTCACCTTCTAATGTTCCTAACTTGTAATCATTCACCTTCTAATGTTCTTAACTTGTAATCATTCACCTTCTAATGTTCCTAACTTGTTATCATTCATCTTCTAATGTTCTTAACTTGTAATCATTCACCTTCTAATGTTCCTAACTTGTAATCATTCATCTTCTAATGTTCCTAACTTGTAATCATTCATCTTCTAATGTTCCTAACTTATCATTCGCCTTTTAATGTTCCTAACTTGTTATCATTCACCTTCTAATGTTCCTAACTTGTTATCATTCACCTTCTAATGTTCCTAACTTGTTATCATTCACCTTCTAATGTTCCTAAGTTGTTATCATTCACCTTCTAATGTTCCTAATTTGTAATCATTCATCTTCTAATGTTCCTAACTTGTTATCATTCGCCTTTTAATGTTCCTAACTTGTTATCATTCACCTTCTAATGTTCCTAACTTATCATTCACCTTCTAATGTTCCTAACTTGTTATCATTCACCTTCTAATGTTCCTAACTTATCATTCGCCTTTTAATGTTCCTAACTTGTTATCATTCACCTTCTAATGTTCCTAAGTTGTTATCATTCACCTTCTAATGTTCCTAATTTGTAATCATTCATCTTCTAATGCTCTTGACTTATCTCAAATCACCTACACGTATCTCTCTCTACTATGTTCTGGGTTCAATCCTTGGATGAGGACAGATGTGAGAAGGGTGTTATCTCTTTGTGACCCAACCAAATGTTACAGGTTTTCTCCAGGTACTCCAGTTTCCTCCTGTACTAAATAAGGCGCCACCGTTTTTTCTCCGTCAAAGTGGAAAAAAAAATTTTCATCTAATGCTGTAAAGTCATGTATCACCTTCCAATACTCTTAACTTGTATTTCATTGCTTTATAAAGTTCTTCTTGTCATAATTCAACTGATAATGTTCTAACTATTTCGGTGGCATAGGAAATAGTTGTTTTTGTTTACTCCCACGTGCTATGTGAGGATTAGAGATATTCAATGATGATCAGTGATGGTCAGTACTGATCAATGATGGTCATTGACGATCACTGATGATTAATGATGATCAATGATGTTCAATGATGTTCATTGTTGATCAATGATGGTCAGTACTGATGGTTAGTGGTGATCATTGATGGTCAGTGATGATCATTGATGGTCATTGATGATCACTGATGATTAATGATGATCAATGATGTTCATTGTTGATCAGTGATGGTCAATAATGATTAGTAACGTTCATTGAAGGTTAGTGATGATTCAATTTCATAGTACTATAGGTAAATATTCCCTCTTAGAAAATTGTGTACTGTATCATATTACCAGGAAGTACAGTACAGTAGTTGAGTTTGTGGTGGTGTAAGGGGGCTAAATATACTTTTGTCTGTTACCACCCAGACTTTTAATTAAAATATAAAACCAACAATAAACCCACTCAATTAACATGGTAAGGGCATGTGCGTTTAAAAATATATTTTCAAGGGAGACAATTATTAGAAGAAATGAAGGATGATACAAATAGTATCCTATAATTATTGTTTATTAAAAGCATATATTAATAATGTGATAACTTGAACAATCAATTACAACTAAAGGAACTTCATTTATGTGCAATTAATACTAGGTAACTTTACTTCAACACTTAGATAAAATATAAACTGACCAATGGATCATACTTTTTGGTTAGAAAAAGATATATATATATATATATATATATATATATATATATATATATATATATATATATATATATATATATATATATATATATATATATATATATATATATATATATATATATATATATATATTAATTAACATCTACGACACTCAATAAGCATATCAATTTCAGAGTAATATTACACAACAGTGACACCAGAATGATGGTAACTGAAAACACTTTTCAATAGCACACAGTAATGTTATTACTTATAGTGCCATCAATTACCTGGACTCTAAATCACACTCTTAATTACTTGTTATGCATGGAAAATAACTAGCAAAACATATCTGTAAATACTGTACAGCTGGTTCCCTCAACATAATAAACACCCGTCCTGTTTGCAGTGATCTGTACGGACTCGATACTAGACCTGGGACAGTTATACTCCTGATAACCCATCCCCAATGACACATACAAAAGTCCTTAACACAGACAGGTTGGCTGGAACCAACCCACAGCTCAACTTCACCACACGAGAGTCCGCTGAAGTTGGAAGGCCACCTCCAGGGTTCAACACCCAAGATAACACACTCTTGGTCATCTCAGACCCTCTACTATAGATCTAGGTTTGTAGTCCTACATCATGCCTCATGTTTTACTTTCGTGATTAATGAGATTCTTAAATACAAATAAGACAGTCATTTCAATATAGTCATCAGATCCTCTGATGTACTATTTGGAAATCTAATTTCATGAGCAAATAAATAGCCTATATTATATATATATATATATATATATATATATATATATATATATATATATATATATATATATATATATATATATATATATATATATATATATATATATATATATATATATATATATATATATATCCGACTTACAACCTACTTGACTTACGACCACCCGGACATACGACTGCCTCAGTCGCCGAGCCCCCTAAGATCCTGGTCTGTAAATGCCTGGATGAAGAAAACGTCCCCAGTGATTGGAAAATATAATGCAGTGCAGTGTTGATTTAAAGAAAATAATCTTGAAATACACCAAGAGAACTAAAATTTTATGGGTGAAATGGTGCCATGGGGTGACTTCTCTTCCACCCCAATGCCTTCTCTTCTTCCTTCTCCTCCACCCCCATTCTAATTCCCATCATCATCATCATCATCCAGGAGCCTTCTACATACACACCTCAAAGTAAGTGAACTTTTCTACCATTTTTGTTGAATTTTGGAAATTTTCGGTGAGCTGGAACCAATTACCCAAAAACCCATTGAAACAATGGTTTCGGTTAACAAACTTTTCGGTTAACGAACAACCTTCTGGAACGGATTGAGTTCGTTAACCGAGGGGTCACTGTACTGTTTTAACTCTGCCACCTTGGTTCTTTCTGCTGTTCTAAACCAAATTCGGCCTGTGTGAAACCTAGACTGGAGAACTGGGCAGCTTTACGATCCTGGACCACTATTCTCAAGGCTCTGAAGGCATCGGCTACTACATTTGCTTTACTGGTGTAAGGGGGGGGGGAGCACTGAACTGCCACCCTTATCTTACTCATACTCAACTTCTCTCTTTCTTAGTTCCGTCAATAGTTCTGTCTACATATTTCAGTTCATGGTTACTACATAACCTCAGTTCTTTTTGGTAGCATGGTAAGGGCCGGCACATGGGTATTGTAATTCTGATGTCGGGGTCACTTGGACGGAAATAAAGGTGAAATACTGCGGGAAAATGAAAACCCCTAATACTCTAAAAAAAGGTTTATTAATAAAATCAAAGTAGGGAAAAGATGGCATTAACATACAACTCCAAGGTACAACTCTCGGCTTTACTCAACTGCAATTTACTTAGATACTGTACTCTTATTACTCACAACCTTACTGGTGTTACATTACATTACATACAGTTACCAGGAACAACCCTTGGCTTCTCACAGCACATATAGACACATGACAACTCCTTGGCTTTACTCACATGTCATTCCAAGTGGGTACTCTGACTTCTCCCACATTACTGGTGATACATTTCATTACATTACATTGCAAGACAAACTTACTTATGGTCCCTTCACTAACTGTTGGTAGTGCATATGAGATGCACTCACAACACAAGAAGTTAATACTGATACCAACAAGTTCATACTGATACAAACAAGTTACAGGGGTTCACTGCCCAACATGGGATAATTATTTCCAGTTAATTATCCCCAAACACATACAACAACACTGTGGACTATATAACTTCAAGGCATGTCTCAGGGTATAACACTGGCACCTCTAACAACTGATGACCGCTGTTGTGATCGGTGATAGTCGGACACGTGGTGACAGTCTGGGGTCCAGCCCCACAATGTTGACTGGATCAATTTAATCCGGCCAAATCAACGACATCGTCCATATATTGCTAACTGCTAGGTATCCACTGACGCCAGGCAGCTGGTGGGTGTTCCAATAACCCACACACTGGATCTGAGGACAAAGTTGGAGGGAAGCGTCACGGGAGGGAGCGTGGACTCAAACAATCTCTCGTCTAGCAACGTCAGACGACATTTACTTTATATTACTTCTCACACTGGGTGAATGACAATTACACTGTTACAACATGAACACTGATACTCACTAAATTGACTAAATCAAACTGAATGGCTATATCGGCGGGTAACACATACTACACATACCTGAGGACAAAGTTGGAGGGAAGCATCACGGGAAGCTCTCCCTTCTCACACAGGGTTTATATACCCGTGAGTTGCCAGACGTTGCTACTCACTCAATGACAGAAAT